GAATCGGGTCGGACCCGGTTTTATAACGTAAATTGCCATCCCTACGGGCTACGGCTACGTAAGCCATTGTTTATAGGGCGGACGGAGTTTTTGGGTGGTTGACTTGTTGGGTTAGATTTTGGTTTTACCGATTTCGTTCGCCACTTCGCGTCTCGCACTCTCACTCGCCGGGCAGCATCTCGACCCCTCAGCTCCCTGCGCCTCTTCTTCCAAGATGGAATTCTTGGACGAAGAAAGTAGGCCAAGGTTTCTTTTCCAATCTCGCGTTTCCTCGTCTTCAACCTCCGCTCCCGAAATCCAAAAATTCAATAAGCCTTTAATTTTCGTCTGCGCTTCGATTTCGTCTCTCCTCTCCGCTCACGCTTTCTTCTTCCTTCAGTCCGAAATCCTTAGATTTATTCTAATCTGGTTTGCGCTGTCTCTTCTCGTTGGCCCGTTTGCCCCGATTGCCATTACCGGCGGCGACGTTCGCGTCGGTAATGGCGAGCTTCTCGAACCGTCACCGGATCCCGATCAGACGCTCGAACTTGACGAGCCAAAGAAAAGATTACCTAGCAATCGTAGACAGAAAGCCAGGAGATCTGAGGATTCGGTCTTGAATTCGCCGTTGCCGGTGGTGGAAACTGTTAGCAATTCAGAAGAAGTGGAGAAGAAGAGTGGAAGTTCTGTCTGTAATGATAATGGATCCGTGATCGAGGAAGAAAAGGAGTGGACCGATGAGGATTACGATTTGCTGAAGAAACAGATGTCAAAGCACCCCGTTGGAGCGCCGAGACGGTGGGAGTTGATTGCTGAGGCTTTTCGAGGGCGGCATGGATTGGACAGTGTGATAAAGACAGCGAAATCGTTGTCCGAGAAGAAACCAGGTGGTGGGGATTCCTTCTCGCAGTTTCTGAAGCAGCGGAAACCTTTGGACAAGCGGATCCAAGCCGTTGATGGAGAAATTCCGAGTGGCTCAACGGATTGTGTCGAGGCTAAGAAAGAGGGCGGGGGTTCAAATTGGAGCTCTGGAGAAGATATTGCTCTCCTCCATGCTCTCAAGGTATTTCCAAAAGATGTTTCAATGAGATGGGAGAAGATCGCAGCTGCGGTTCCGGGTAAATCTAAGGCCTGTTGTATGAAGAGGGTTACCGAGTTAAAAAGAGAATTTCGTAACTCAAAGGTTTCTACAGAGTCGTAGACGAGAGTATTAACAACTGGGGGGTTTCAATTGCTTTCATTTCTTCAGAAACATTGACAAGGTAATTGTTGTATCAATACCTGCGATTAGGTTTTTCCCACAATCAAATGTTTTCTATCTTTTACATTTACAGGAAGGCTTATGTGTCTGAATTTTGGATTTCAACTTCATTGATACTGTTCTATTAATCAGAGAGTGGACATTAACAAGTGTAAACCATACCACCCGGTTCATATCATGTTATGACTTGTAAAGAGAGAACCACTGTGATTGCATTCATAAGTTGATTCAATAAAATTTTCCTGTGCGAATCATTGTTCACTTTTTGATGTGATTGTTTCGTCATAATCTATTAATGGGTTTGATTATGAGGATACATGATATGCCCTAAGGTCAATAATCCTCAATGAACTCTATGCCATTTCCAGTGTCTATTAACTCATAGTTTCCATTAGATATACGAATTCGGTGGCCACCTTGTTGATGGAATCCAACCAAAACCTGGACAAGAAGATAATGTCTTGTGGTTGAATACATGTTGGGCCCATTGATTATTTGATGGGTCCTTGTGTAGTTTTTGGTGTAGATTTTGTTACGATCGTTCAAATTTTGGTAGATTATCATTCATGGATGTTCAGGATTATGATTGAAGCCGTATTGTTTTCAGCATTATCAAATTGTCTTATGTCTGTGAACACACCTCCAAACTCACCACTACTGAAAAATATAAAAAATACTAAAATATAAGAAGAAAGGTCTCCACCTGTCTAAGCAAGTATAAAGGATGCCACATGGGTACTACCAGTAGGCTAACAGAATACAAATAAATCATTTCTGGTTGTTAGTATTATAAACCCAATTAAATATTCTGAAATACAATAAAATCTTCTCCATTTGATATAACAGTCCCCATCCACAAGCAGTTAATTTTGGTCAATTCAGGCAAAAAATATTCTTGTGAAAGACTTTGGGACCTTGGTTAGATCCTTGTTGCAGCCATGGTTCACAAAATATCAGATATATGATTGTGTATTTGTGTTCTCTACAAGAAGGGTCCATTACCCATGGAGGGTCCCAGCTATCCAGGGTATTGGGAGGGATAGACTGGATATGGACATAACCTTTAGCATTTTTTTTGGGTACACAGTGGCAGCTCTCAGAGTTGATTTCATGCTTGTCAGCCAGAGATTGTGTTCTATATAATGTAAAAGGTCTAGACTCTTTAGGCTGCAACAAACTTCTTTATGTTGGTCTACTAGATCATTCATATTTGCCAACGCCAAAGCCTTCCCAAGTAGAATTTCAACAAGAACCATGGAACTTGCTTTAAGATTGGTATCAAACTAAATGATGTCATATGAAATAATCTAATATCTGGTCTTCATTTTGTTAATCAGCCTGTGCACATCCACACTAGATGAAAGAGAAGAAGAAAGAGATTAACAGAAGCCCTCCTGACATTTATCACACTTGGATCTCATTAAATCTTTAAGGAAGGCATATGATCAGTTCTGGGAGAAAGGAAATTTGCTCAAACCTATAACCATACAGCTTATGTAAATCAGAACAACCATATAACACAAAACTATCTGACCATGTATGTACATATTTTTCCCTCTTCAAAACACATGACTATAGTTTAAGAACCAATATTATCTTGCTCCATTAAAATGAAAAACAGAAACAGAATCAGTTATAATAGGTAGCTAAAAGTTCTATACTAATGGGTGTGGAGATCAGCTAATACTTTGGCTGACTGTCTAGCAAACAAAGCAAGGGGCAAACAGGGAACAATTGTATTGGGCTCATCTGTAGTCTGAATTTGTTTTTCTGTTTTCCTCTTGTTCTTTGGAGAGGACACAGCTTGTGCCTCTCCACAGGAAGTTTGTATTCCAATTCTTTTATTAATGAAATCTTAAATTATTTATCAAAAAAAAGTTCTATACTAATAACTATAATTAGTTAGCTAAAAGCTTCAGTTTTTCTGCCACTGGTTTTGATGTCAGATACATCAACCCTCCACAATGTTTTAAAAACCGACCTGGAACCAGAACTGCTTTCACCACCAGTTTCTGGATCAACGGTTCGACCGTCTGGTCTGAATGGATGGCCCATTGCAATTTAAAAAATAAAAAATAAAAAAAAGGCCAAAAACGCTATTTACAGATTGCACAGTGGATGATATGCTGAGGAAGTGGGGAGAAATTGCAAACTGTTCGCAGAGCAAATCAGCAATGAGTTTTGCTGGCAGTAGTAGAGGGAACCCTAGACAGTCGGGGATTTGAGGTGTTTTCAGGGATGAGAATGGGGTCATTTCTACATTATACTCGGGTCCAATTGGAGTGGGAGACTCCCTTCGAGCTGAAATTTATGCAGTTATTGGAAGGGATACAGAAAGCTAAGGAGATGAATATCAGAAAAATCATAATTGAAGGGGATTCGGAGGTGGTAATAGGGTGACTGAATAAAGATAACAGTAGCCCATGGAATTACAGTAATGAGAGGAAAAGGTTTAAGTGGCTGGTGAGGGAGATGGAAGTGAAGATGAGGTGGGTTCAAAGATCGGCTAATTCCTTGGCTGATGAATTAGCTAAACAAGGGGTAGAAAGGGACTCAATGTTTTGGGCCAATTTGTAAACTACTGTTTCCATTTCCTCTTCTTTTCTTAAGTTCTCTAGCTGTATGTGGAAGACAAAAGTGTTTGTCTTCTTCTTTGTAATCATCTTTATCCTGAATTAATGAAATTGCTAATGAATGCGTTATTGATAAAAAAAATGGCCAAAAACAGTTGTCTGGGTCAAACGGGTTGATGGTCTGGCCTCCCAGGCCAAAGGGTCACTGACCAAGTCAACGGTTTTTGGTAAAAGACCAAGTCAGGGGTGAAATTGAACCAGTTGTCTGAACGGTTTCTGGGCCAAACAGTCCAACTGGGTCAAGGACGGTTTGAAAACTATGGTTCTCCACACAAGTTGATACAAGCAATACCCGGAAATGTCACACTAGTTCTGTTCAGTGGATTGTAACCGACAAGAATTCTTCTATAAAATAAGGTTTTGATTTTGATAATGATAAATTATTTTTGCCTTTTTGAATGTCTAGTTGTCTATAGCTCTATATTGATGAATAAACTTTAAATCCCTCATAACTTTTGTTTTGCATATCCCTCATAACTTTTGAATTCTCTTTCAATGATGTAATCTTTAATCCAAAACGGTTAACAAACATTCCTGTAGTCCTTCAATTTCCATGTATTTATTATCCCTTGGTATCCTATCCAGTCTATAACGATCAATTACCCTGCCATCACCTTCAATGGCGGAAGCCTTCTGCATCTCCCATTCTATTTGGTGAATGGAAGCACTAGAAAGCTTACATTCACGATGAAAACCGAGCTCTTCAACATGCATGGTCAGAAATATGAAGGGGGATCAATATTGCATCAATGGAACGTCGAAACACTTGCTTAAGGATATCTGGACAATTATTAAGCTGAGGAATGCAATGTGACTGCAGATTTTTTAGCCAAGACTGAGTCACTCCCAATTGGATCCAACATCATTGAGTAAGAAGAATCCACCTGGATCAAATATACCTGCCACTCTTTCCAACGAAGGCAGGTGATATTCCAGATGTGCGACTGTGATATCATGGGCAGGTGTGGGTAGGAGATCTGAGGGCGTTAAGATTAACATTCCACTTCCACCAATTTTCTACTCTGAAAATGGAATCAAGTTTTGATGAAATTTATATGCATTCTATGAATTTATGATGATTGTTTGGCCGATGATCCAGTTGTCGAGATGGTCACTGGTTAATTTCGTTACCATGAAAGTCTACATCTTATTCAAGTGAAAATCCCATAACCATGTCTATGTATGAATTTATCAGAGCTCATCTATTTACAGAATCAATATTTACATTCACCGGTTTCCATTTCTTTCCTAACCTAATCACAGAAGTAATCATACTACCATTGATGTCCATGACAGATTCAAAAAGAAAAACAGAAAGAAAAATCTAAGTGAAGTGACGACTTATAGTCAACAATACCCAACCCTTCCTCCTTTCAATGGGAAGGCTCTTTAGCATGGAGAATGCTTTCACGTCGTCCATGAAACATTGACAAGCTTTGAGGCACTCCATTTCCTCGAGCTCTGGAACCTTGCAAACTTCTTCGTATACCTCTCTTGGATCAGACTCTTTCTTAGATGAAGCAAGCATATATTTCTCTAAGGAAGCAGCCATTTTTGCAATGGCAGATGCAAGTGTATCCTTGGTTTTACTTTTCTTGCTTGGTAGTGGGTTAACCAATGTAGATGATAATCGTACTTTTGCTTGCCTGATTCCAACACCATTAGGAGAATTAAGAGCATCGACGACTCTTGTACCTTCTAAACTAACAGAATTTGTATCACCAGCATCATCCCCATTTGCTTCCTCAGCATCTGCAGCTGTTTCAGCACCTTCCCCATTTGCTTTCTCACTTCCACATATTGTTACTATGTCATCCCAATTTTCAATAACCTTATTACGATACTTAATTGCACCAGGGTTTGCCTATAAAAATGCTGCATTATTAGATTTGCACCAGGATTTGCCTATAAAAATGCTGCATTATTAGATTCAACAATAGAACGTCTAACAGAAAGAAGGGAAAAGGAGAGTATAAATTTCAAAAGGAACCCAAGAAAAGGCATAACGTACCTCAACATAAGTTTTCCATACATTCTCGTCGGTAAATGATATGGTATTCCTGGTGTAATCCCATGTAAACCCACTTTGTCTAAGCATGTCGGTAATAAAAGCATAATGAATCTTCCAAACCTTCAGGCGATTCTTGATGTTGTCTTTTGTAATAGAAATGTGGGGAAATTGCATCCTCATTGCCTCTGTAGCAGTACTGTAAGCAATTGGCTTCCATCCTCCATCTGTTTTATTGCCACTGTTTAGTAGTTGAATGAGGACTGCGGCCAAGGCACGATCCATTTCTATGTTCCAATTTAGATAGCCTCTGTCATTCTCATTACCTTCTTTCTGATTTTTCTTCTTAATTTTACCCATCCTCAAAAATCTAAATCACACATCAACATGAACTCAAGCATATAAGAATAAATATTCAAAGTAAACAATACAAAGCCTACAAAAAATAAAGTAAAACATAATCTCGAGCTTCAATAAAATAAAAAGAAAAATCATGCTAAAAGTCACATCAAGTATGAAATTAATATTATATACCAAGCCACTACCAAATAGATGAATCCAAATGTCATATATATGAATTTAAACATTATTACCCAGAAAAAAGATCCAATATGAAAACCATACAAGCTCATAGATTTCTGTTACAGGAAAGGAAACCAAAAGGTAAACACTAGAAATTAAAGGACCAAAAATGTCAAATGGTTTACAAGGACTATGTCAGTTAGATTTCAGTGGGTTAGTAGATCGGCCAATGCCATGGCAGATTCTCTAGCTAAACAAGGGGCTTCAAGGGTTTCTCTGCTTTGGGATACTTTGTAAACTGTAATCTGAGAAGAGTTTGGGATTGGAATCATCCTTAAGGGGAAGTAACACCTACTGCCTCCTCTTAGGTTGATTGTACTATTTCTATCTCCATTTAATAAAAACACTATTCATTCATCAAAAAAAAACAAAGGATCCAACAAAAGAAAATTCCTCTGCAATAAAAAAAAAAGCATATCAAAGATCATGTTCTTGTCCTTTTTGGGCTTGAAAATCCTCAAACTTCTGAGTAGCCATTCTGTCTTCTGTTTATTGATTTGTTACTTTCTTTTGATCAGCTCCATTGATCTGTTATTTGAATACATGCAATCTCAACATCAAACTCATCAGCATTTTCAGGGACCTTCAGTTTCTAAATCATGATCAGCATATTCTAATTGTAGATCATTTGACTGCTCATCCCACATGAACCTATGAACAATGCAGTAAGCACAAGTAAACCTAATTTGAGTTTTTACATCAAAGAGGTAGTCTGTAATATATCTCATTGCTTTTCCATAAAACTGAATGTTCTTTAAATTACATTCCTTGCGGTTGAATGTCAAAGAGTAAATAAATAACTCCTTTATAATTTGTTGGATCACTATCATCACTTCCTGCCCATTATTTCGAGTGCTACCTTGTCTAACCATACTCAACCAACTATTTGGGTCAGCTGTACAAATCTTGTCTTGTCATTCTTCTCTATCAAGAGCCATGTTACTACATTGTTTCACGATAAGAAGCTAAAAATCCTCATCCCTTAGCATATCTGGATTCCACGAGAAAACATTTATCTACAATATAATTTAAATTTAATTCATTTAGAAGGACCTAGTGTTTATCAACTACAATACTAGTGAGAAAATTGTTGCCATACCCGATGGAATATGAAGATGGTCATCTCTTGTTGATGAACCATGTAACACTTGAGAGTCTGAAGAAGACCCTACCAACCAGGCAATTCATATATGATCTTTCATCTCAGTAGAACAAACTACCAAGACATTTGTTGAAATTTCACCTTTTCATCTCAGGAGAACAAACTACCAACATTGGGTAATGGCTTTTTTTATCTCAGAGGATGCATCTCTGAATCTTCTCCTACAGTTTTTACCAAAGTACCATACATTCAACAAAGTAAGATCTTAGTAATTTAGACACCATTTAACCACAGAAAAAGGAACAAAAACAATTTGGTGAAGGTCTATTTTTCCCAATCAAAAAATCATTCTTCCAAGTATTACCTGGCATTGTGATAGAAAAGAATGGTGGCAAACTAACTCTATAATACAATTATACAATCAAGGTTGCATTCAACTCATCAAGTAGCAGTGATGCCATTGTTACAAATAATTCTAAAATTTATTTGCGCAAATCATGAACATGTTAAAACACAAAATAAAATGACAAAATTGCTCACAGAAGGTTTATAATACCAAACAATTCATCTAAAGCACTTGGTATGGATTCATCAAGTACCAACATTACAGATAAAAGTGTAGAATGCAACGAACAAAAACAAGTATAGCAAGTAGAGAGTGTGAAGAATGAGTTCAGCCAAAATCTAAAGAAGAAATACTAAAAAAGCCAGAGCATCATGTGATCATCAAGACTAACGAACTCTAGAGTAGATCACAGATTAAATTTTGAATTCAGGGCAAAAATCAATAAGAAACAGTATGAAAACAGCAAAAAGGAATTAAAAAAGAAAATTAGAAAATGTAAGGGGGAAAAAAGGAAAAGCAGATCTAAGCTGGAAAGTATCTAGTACTGCCATGCAGACACATGCAAAAACAGGGAGAGGTAGGGAGAGAAACTCACCGGACAGTGAAGCTCGCCGGAGATGAAAGCCACGAAGCTCTGTTCGAATTCTAGTTGGCTAGACTCTAGAGTAAATAGAAAAGGAAAAGAACAATTAAAAGCTCAGAAGAATCATCTCAATCAAGCGAAAATAAACATATGGATCTATCGGCGGCCGGTGGTCGAAGAATAGAGGAGAGAGAGAGGTGAAGGAGGAGAAGAAAAGAGCGAAATCCAACTTCACCGACGCCGGCGGAGAGAAGTAGAGAGAAGAGGAAGAAGGGAAACTGGGCTTAGCCGTCGCCGTCCGCGGAATTGAGGAGCGGAAATGAAAACCCTAGCAATTCCAGGGGAGAATTGGGACCAAATCCTTTTCAGAAATGTGTGCCCTCAGTCTGAAAACCCAAACGGAGGAATCCGGAAACATGTTAGGGAACGGATGGACTAATTCCGCTTTCCGCTCCCGAATCCCTTGGTTACGTTTTTATCATGTTGAGAATCAGAAAGAGGGTTTTCACTTTCCACCTTCCAGAATCCAGGTGGGAGATAATCCATATTCCTTCATTGGACGTTTTTATCATGTTGAGAATCAGAAGAGGGTTTTCACTTTCCACCTTCAAGAATCCAGGTGGGACGTGGGAGATAATCCATATTCCTTCATTGGACGATCCCTCTACTTTAGCCACTACTCACTAGATGGGGAGGAAACGCACGCTGGCACGGTCAATGAAGGGAATTCGTTAGATGATGGGTCCACACTCCACATCCACTGAAACGCTACTCTTCGTAGACATGGTCCCAGAATCCAGTCCACTCTTCTTTTTTAAGCCCAAGGGCCCAGAAATTGCGTGTCTTTTCAATTAGGTCATTTAACACCCCCGATAGGTTAATTTATTTAAGTCTATCCTATAGTTTTCATTTTATTAAAATATCCTATAATTTGTTTTGTCCTCTAAAAATATTAACGTGATTACCTAAAAATGTTTAAGGGCATGGGCTCATACTTTTGTATAGAAAATAAAATTGACAAAGTATAGTGGTTGCTTGTGTCTGAGCAGAAATGGTATTTCATTTTTTTCTTTTTTTCCATTAAATTTATTCAAATGGACATTAAGGTCAAAACTGTTACTTTGTGCTATCATCTAATGGAAGTTTGATTAAATAAATCAATTGTAAACTATAGGTGTGTTTTAGTAAAATGCAAACTCTAGAATAGGTATGTATTTGGTATAGCTTTTGTCTATTAAATAAATATTTGTACTTGATTTGTCTTCAAAACCGAGAAAAGTACTTGATAAACTGTTTATTGACAACTAAGCGCCACATCAAGGAAACACTGAATAAATGCTGAATCGCTAGGGGAAGCATTAAAATGAAGCTTCCCCCAACGGTTGGTGCGCATATAAATCAAGACCAACATTTGTGAATAAATATGCGTACGGATGAACATGATGAAAAAAATGTTGATTTGGTAATGACATGACAACGTTTATCAAAATGCTTATCGCGAAACTCCCGCAGAACCAAACATATGCTTGGTTTTAATAAATCCGTAAAACTATTGCAGTGTTTTAACAAATAACCCTTTCGATTATTATGATGACCTTGTTGGGAATGGGAATCAATCAACTTTCAATGGTTCACGGCTAAAACCTATTCATGAGTCGGGCTTCAAGCCCAATTTTATATTGTCTTAGGCTTGGGCTTTGGGTCAGGCCCATTAGAATTTTGACAAAAGCCAAGCTCGAGCCCAGCCCATGAGCAGGTCTATTCACAACCATGGTTGTTCCTTCTCCTTGATACAAGATATCTTAGGCATGATCCCATGGATGAATAAGTATTGCAAGCATAGCCTTTTAAAATTATTTTATTGGATGTTCAACTAAAGCTTAGTTTGGAAAGAGTACAAATATAAATTTATAGAGTGCAAAACCTTATACTTTGTTTTATTTTGTATATATTTGTACTACACATATTTGTATTTGCACCCCTTCCAAACGGAGCCTTGATTTTTATCAAGGTTATGTGGCATATGTTAATGATCATCTCTTTTTTTTTTAATTTTGTTTTCTTTTAATCTATCACTTTTATGGTGGTAAAAACATGTTTAGTGGTACTAAACTACTAGTACTACAAAAGCATGTATGTTGTAAATGCCACATACTTGGGCTCTAAAATGTTGCATCTTGAGATCATTGTAGGTTTCAATGTAAATTCTACATGCAATATCTTCAATCTTGATGTGCAACATTCATCGTCATCATTTTGAGCCTTTTCCTAACTATATATGGTTGGCTACATGAATCCCACCATTCTATTCTGTTCAGTGCCATATCTTAAGTTATATTTCCTTCCATTTGTAACAAATTAATCAATGTTGTGATCAATATGCATGTCATGTTTTTTAAGTTGTCATGCTAATATACTATAAAATATGTTTATGTATTTTGGTTTCCCTTTGTCTTCTATATTTATAGCTTTTCAATGTCAATATATATGTAAATGGGTAAGTTTAGCATAAGAGTCTCAATCTAAACCTGATTTGAAACCCAACTAAGATTGGCTCCAACTTCACCTAACAATCTAATATCGTTCGTGAAGATATATTTACCACTTAACTTGACCCATAATATCCCTTTAGAGGTCTCGTGACTCTTTGCCCACTTCATTACTCCTCTTCACTCTCCTTTGCCATTCTAATTTAATTGTTAAAAAAAAACATTGAATATAAGGCCACTTCCATTCACTGGGAATCTATTTAGCTTCTTTTTTATGGGAAAATTAAATATAATTGTTTTTCTACAAGGTTTTAAAATTTTAATATGATACATTTAGTATGGGGCATATTATATCCTAAGGTGTGGATATGTACAATGCGATAAAAAATGATACAACCTATACCAACCAGTCATGGGCCTATAGTGCCTATTGTGACAACCGCCATAGCTACATTGATCTAACAATAATTTATACCAAAAATGTTTTTTTTCTCAATTTTTAAGACATTTGAGAATAAAAATAATTTATTTTATAATGTTCTAAACAATTTTCATGATAAGGAAGAACTGCAAGGTGGATCTATCAATGATTTATCAAATTCATTCATCCAACAACAATTTAATGTATCTTGTGGTAAACTTTTAGTAGATTGAAAAAGCTCAAACATTGTTTGATGTATTATTAGTAATATTATTATATAATATGTATATGTGTTAAACTATCAATATTGTTGATTGTAATGTATCTTTTCATATAGACTACAATAGTTTTTATTTCTTACGTATTTATAACTTATTGATAATTATTTCAACTTTAAATTTATTATTATTGATGCATTTATGGGATTTGTAGGAGTTTCCCCAATGGATCCAAGTGCATTCATTTTTTTCTACCATGTCCATGTATATCAAAAGTGTATTGTGATATGTATCTATGTCCAGGCTTATTGATATGGTACACACTACCAATATTTTAAACCTTACTTTCACTATAGAATATGGGGCATCTTTAACACAAGCTTGTGTATCATATGGATACCTTGTAAGTTCTAACATAATATACACTAGTAATAAGCTTGTGCAATGACTAACAAAAAAATTAAGGATATTGAAAACAATCAGTAGGAAAATGGTTTTGTGAGAGAAAAGTATGATAAAAAAGAATTTTAAAGGGGATGGATCACACTAAAAGTACAAGCAAAAGACAATTTCTATAGCACTCACACCACCTAGGGGGAAGTTGCCAACACTCGGATGGGACAAAAATGCCCCTTTTAATAATGGATTTTTATGGATAAAATGGTCATTACCCTATTTACATGAGAAATAAAAGAACATGGATAAATGCTCTTACTCAGGTAAGTGTTTCCCAAGAAAAACTTACCCAGGTAACTGCATTTACCTAGGTAAGTAACTTACCGAAAAGCAAACGGGGCCTGGAAATAAAAATATAGAGATAAAGGGGATGGATCACATGCCTAATCTTACTCGTGAGTTATTTATAATTTTTTTAAAGTGTAAGACTATGTGATTAGTCATCTCACACCATTAACAACACCATGGACATTAGCATAATTGCAGTACCTTGCTTTGCCTCCTAGCATAGTTGTTGCCTCAATTAGCCTTTCACTACATTCCTTGTTAAAGACTTAAGTACTGTAGAAGCACACATCCTCATATACACATGACAAGAAAGGGGCAAGTGCTCAAACACCAAAATAATTACTCAACATGTGATGAAATAATCATAATCAATCTAAGTGGCACAAATTCAATAACTGTGTAACTGTTGGAAGAGTAGCCATAGGCCCTTACTTGCTAATCCTCAACATGTTGGAGAATTCAATGGCCATGTGACAAGCCACATTTTGATGGAGAACAAATTATCTCTATGCTGCACTCTCACGCACAACCAAGCTTTTTCCTTGTATTATTATTTATCTATTTTCCTATAAAAAATCCTTTTTTGGTTGTTTTTTGCACAAGTATTTTTTGCATAGAGATATTATTATTGGAATATTAACCAGATCCATTCCAACTCTTATTGGGTCAATGGTGGATCATTTGGCCTAGTATAGACTGGATGATCAAGTGACAAGATCCTTGATTAGTGAGACACTTGTCTCAATCTGGAGAAGTTTTGACCTACTCAACCAACAATTCTTTTATAACATTCCTGTTAGCATTAAATGCGCAAGGAAACGTTAGAGACTAAGCCTGTTATATAAGGAGTACACAGCTTATATCTAACGCATGAAAAAGTTCTATGTGAAAAAGAATCAAGAGAGGTCAAAGCTCAATTCGGATTAGCTAGTCCCTCGTTGCACCTTGCTTAAAGGGCTTGTGTCTCGAGTCATTCTCTGTTGCTTATATTTGCAGTTTGGATCACATCAAGTTTCATGCATTGATATTTTGGTCACGATCACAAGTACACTCATCACTAGTATCAGAGCATCTACATAAAACCTTTGGTGCAGGTGAGCTACACCATATCGCGTCCCATTTTAAATATCCAGAAGAGTGAAGAGAGAAGTGAAGCATCCTTGTTAGTAACTCTTCTCTTCA